GGGAGCCAGCCGGCGTTCCTGCGTTCCCACCGAGCCGGCTGGCACAGGCTCTGCGGGAAGCGGCAGCAACACTGGCCACAGGGCATTCTCGCTGGCACGGGACATCCCCGCTTCCTCCCTGTTGCAGTGAATGGTGCGGACCCTGAGYGCCAGGAAAGGAAGGGAGCGAGGGTCGGCGCCCGGGAGCAGAGCTGGGAGCAGGTTGCACTGCAGCCACGTTCACTTWCAAACTCCGCACAGCGTTCCCAGGGACGCTTCCAACACAGCCCCTGCAGCAGGCAAAGCGCAGGTGTCACATGGGCTCCCTTCACTTGCAGGAAATGCTTTCACTGAGCTTCTCCCGACTTTTGACCACGCAATCTCTTTAACAGAGACACTTTCGATGATAGATTTTCCACGGCTTCTCATAGATAATTCTCAACATAAAGAACACAAACCAAAAGAGGCAGGCGGCGGCGGTGGCGCTGCCACCCCTGCAGGTGCCGCGCTGCCCAAGGACATGCCGAGGGAGCGTTGCTGCACGAGGGAGCATCGCTGCAGAAGACGGCGCTGCCGAGCTCCAGCTCCCCCGCTCCAGTGGTGCCAGTGTTCCGGGGTGGACACGGGGTTCCCATGCTGCGGCCACAGCTTCACGCTCCACACACGCAAACCATAGGGAATAAACTGATTAAAACAAACTTTATTTAACAAATTATATTAAGAATACAGACTAAGTTATCACACAATGAAACTTCCCTTTGTAAAATACTGGAGAGTCATCTAAAATAAATATAAAAAGTAGTAACATTCATAAGATTAATGCACAGTAAATTCACTTTCAGTAACCCAACAAAATGCATAGCATCTTAAAAAACACTTTGCAACTGCATGAGAAGTGTCTCTCCTCTGCTGATATGCTGCCATTGAAAACTGCTGCCGCGAGGGGCAACGAAGCCGGGGCGCCGCCTYGGTCCGTCCCGGGCGCAGGGAGACCCCACGGCTGGCGGTGACAAACCCCGTGGYGCGGCCAGGAGGTACCCGTGGGCATGAGGCCCCGGGTGAGGTAAGGTCGAGGGGCGGAGGACGCGTGGCCGCGCAGGGACGTGGCACCGCGGCTCCTCACACCGGCAAAGCGCCCTGCGGGGCAAGGCCAGCACGGTGGGAATTTTGTTCTTTGCATTTGTGAAGATTCTCAGCAGCACCCGCGTGGTTGTGCCCCCGGGCRGGGCAGAGGAGGCGGCGGCGGCCGCGGAGGCTCCGCGCCCCGTGCGGGCTCCACGTGGAGCCGCAGGACCCCCTGCCATGCGGCTGTGCCCGCGACGTTCACTCCTACAGCTACAGCTAGGGATGCTCCTGCAGGGAAGGCATCTGCTACCTACGTACGTCCACACTTGCATTTACCACAAAGTTCACACGCTATGTCACTTCCTGCACTAATTTTCTTGCCTCTCCACTACTAACAGCTCAGACTGGGCCTGGAGGGCAGCTCTGCACGCGCCGGCTCCTGCGGGCAGCGCGTCCCCTGCCACACACAGCTCTGCTGTGCAGCTCCCTGCCCCTCGCGGCTTCGCTCTGCCCTCGTCACAGAGACAGGAACCCAGGAGACAACCTGGCAAACCTGGCAAACTAACGCTGAGCACAAGGCTAAGCTACACAGTGTCTGCTCTTGTCCTAGGAGCAGCAGCCAGGCAGCCCGGCACATGTGCTAGAGCCCTGCACACCCGCGGCTGCTGCACTCCAAGGATTCGTACCCTCCTCTCACGCTCCGGGGGCTTATTCACTGCCGGGCACAGCAGCAGCAGGTCCCTCTATGCWCCCTGCCTGCACCAAGGCTCTGCTGGCACACGGGCCTCTGCACAGCAGGGAGGGAGATGCAGGGGACACCCAGGATGGAGGAGACACTCGGGATGCAGGAGACACCCAGGATGCAGGGGACACCCGCACAGGCCCCCGCGCGCACCAACAGGGAGGACGAGCTACGAGGATGCAAGGGCCAGCCTCGCAACAACTTGCTCGGATTACAAAAATTACAGAACAGCAAATGAACGTGGCCTGCTGAAATGCTGACCAAGCACCCGCAGGTCGTGGGAATTTGCAAGTGCAAGGCAAAAGCTCCTTATAACCAGTGGAGTGACAAGAAGACACTCACAGTCGACACGCCTGCAGCGTGGACATGCTGCAYGTCCTGCTGTGCTTGTAAGCGCTGGCTCTGAGTCCTCCCGGCTTCGGAAATGCCGGAGAGGTTGGAGCAGCCCTTGACTGAAAACGCCCCTGTTGTGCTTACACCGAGATCTGCAGCGAAGGCTCAGGCTGCAGCACGGGTGCTTCGCAGTGCCACGGTGTGGAAGCTCCCTGCAAAGATCAGGTTTCTCTGAAGATGTATCCCTGCAGCAGTGTTGCTGGGCCAGAGAAAGGGAGGGAACAGTGGGAAACAGCTAAGAAAAAGATATCCCCAAATTTCTTAGGTGTTTGTCCCAACTGCATGTCCTCTCGGCGTTTTGAGGCATCCAGTGTTTTTGGCAAATCACTGAAGGGAAAGCTGAATCTATTATCTCTAAGAAGACTGAGAAAACGTCACTTGCTGTAGGTATTAAAACATCAATTTTACCTAGTGATGATCTTTAAGCTAAATCTCACAAAAAGGAAACAAAAGAAACTTTTCCAACATTTTAGTTGCAGTTTGTAGCTCAGCCTATTAGACCTGGTGCAACCGTTTCTGACAACTGCTCCGCTCTGTTGAGGGCCACATGTTGGGCACCCAGAGCAGTGCTCAGTGCGAAGACCTTGGCCTTGCCCAGACGCTGGCAGCAACACGCACACCCTGAGCGCGAGCTGGGCACCGAGCACCCAACGCTGGCTCCAGCACCAGGGCTGCAGCTCTGCGCAGGGGCAGCTCCATGCTGCATCTCACCATGTCTCGGCGGCAGCAGCTGCACACTGGACCTGCAGGCAGCGTGTCCGCCCCTGCAGCAAGGGGCTCAGCACTCTGCGCTCGGCCTCCGCGCCACGAGGAAGGCAACGCTGCTCACAGCCTCTGTGCCACGAGGAAGGCAATACTGCTCACGGCTGCTCACAGCCTCTGTGCCACGAGGAAGGCAATACTGCTCACGGCCTCTGTGCCACGAGGGAGGCAACGTCGCTCAGGGCCTCAGCCTCCTGCAGCGCTCACCGCTCCATGGGACAAGCTATGAGTGGATGCCACAGAAAACTGCACAACGGATCATGAACAGAAAAAAGGAAAGACAAAAGATGGATGAGATGGGCATACTACTACTGCACAGAGTGGATTTGAACTTCAAGTGAACCTGAGCCGAATGACCAGGCTGCCATGGTATGTTCATTTGTCGATGTCGGCATCATCAATCTAGCCTTTGTGAGGCCTGGCAGTGAGGTCTGGCTTTGCTTTCCTGCAGGATAAATAAGAACTAAAAATGGTACTGCAACCTTCAAGTAAATGAGCACTTGCAGGGGGTCACTCCAACCTCCAGAGCTGACGCAAACAATTCTTTTGCCCAAATACGACACACTTGCAACCAAATCTGCCTACGCTTGCAAATCACGTGGCCTTGCTTTAGGGAGGCAGTTTCAGAGAATGGTTACCTGGCTGGGAGAAGACGAAGTAGAGAACTGCAATGAGTCTATCCTGAATATTGTTGTGGTTTCGTTGTCCCAGAAATATGGTGCCTTAAAACCAGAAATGAATCTTTGGACAAGAAATACTTTACATATGTACAAATAAAAAATACAAGTTGACAGTACAAAATCTATTGTTAGTCACCACTCTGTCCTACTAGAAAATGCAAGATCAATCAAAAGCAGTGCAAAGCAGGTCGGGGCGCAGATACAACCCAGACCGAGAGCTGCAATACTGTTATTTGTTACTATGGCAATTGCATTTCAATAGAGTTAGGTAATCAGTACTTTACAATATAAAAAGTTGCACATTTTAACACTTACTTAAAAACTGCTATTTTGCCGCCATGATGTGTCTTTGTTCTATAGCAGAGACTTGAAAAAGAACATGGAAATCAGATGGACATTTCTAAATAACTTATTATAGCAACAGACTTCACCAAGACATGCATTCGACTGAGGAGTGAGCGAAGGTCACCAGTCGTAAGGAGGCTGAGGTCAGGGTTTAATGCATCACACTCTTGACCGGTGGAAATGAACCGCTCTCATCCTGCGCCACATCAGAGTTCAGCGCTTCCCCCCAGGGCGCAAAGGCGACAGGCACAGCCCTTTCGTGCTAGCAGCTGGCAGGGCAAAGAGCAGAGCAGGGCGCCGGGTGCCCGGTGGGGCGCACGTCGGCCTGGCTGGTGCCCGTTGCGGCGCGCAGGGCGGCCCTGGGGAGTCTGTGGGCATCGCGGGCCCCGTCGGCGCAGCYTGTTGCGTCGCAGGGCCTTGGTCTCTGCTCCCAGGCGGAGATACCAACACCTTGTGCAACCCCGAGGTGCCTCCCCTMGGGGACGGGAGTGAGCCCTGGGCTCTGCTGAACCTTGCCAGCAAGCTGGGAGAGGGCGCAGAGCAAACCCAGGAAGAGATCTGGGCTCCATGAAAAAAGGCAGCCTCTGGTTCATCCTGGCCGCACGGAAGCCGTTGCATTCCCCGGACTGGGCAAGGGCAGCGCGGGCTCAGCGCAGCTCAGCACGCGGTTGGCAAACCGGGGAGCCGCAGAGCCGTCCGTGCGACACAGCTCCCGCTCCGGTGACTGGAGCAGCCGGCGGGACTGGAGCAGCCGGCGCGGACGGGAGGCCTGGCATGGGCTCCCTGGCATGGCAGGTCTCGGTGGTCAACAAGCTCGCAGCCTGTCCCTGCAGCGCGGTGCTCCGGCTCCGTGTGGGTGGCTCTCCGGCAGCAGGGTTACGGGAAAGGGACTGGTGAGGAAGCTGCCAGGCGGGCGCTAAGGAACGTACTCACGTGCGGAGAGGCCCTGGCCGCGGGGTAGGAGCGGGCGGCCGCGCGGGGCGGGAGGGCGGCCGCTCGCGGCGCGGGCCGGTGCAGCGGCGGCCGCGCAGGGCCCGCTCAGGACGGCGGCAGCTGCTGGCACCTGGTGGGGCTGGGTGGCAGGCGGGCCGCGGCGCTCTGCTCCGTCCGGAAGCTGTAGTCGTACTGCAGGGCGAGACGGRCACACGTGTGAGCTGAGCCGAGCCGAGCCCCGCGCCGCCCGGGCGCCCGTCGCGGGGGCCTGCTCCTGCTCAGGTCTGGTGCCAACACAAGCACGACCACACTCATCCTCTGCACAGCCTGGTCCATGCACGTCTGTTTTACCCACGCCTGCCCCGTTTTAATTGAAATTGCTTTGCAAAGCGGACAGAGCACCCTGCACACACATTCTGGGGCCCAAGCACGGCTTAGTTCAGCTTAGTCTGTGCCTGCTCTTGATACRTTGAGGCTAACCCGGAGGAGGCCGGGTTCAAAGAGCAGCACGAGCATCCAGGCACACCTGGCTAGGGAGGAGCGAGCGGGGCGCCAGGGAGGCCCCGGCTGCACGGCGCCTTGTGGGACCGAGCGCCCACGGGCCTTGCGGCAGCGCTACCACCTCGTGGTGCTCCTGGCCATGCACGGCCCCTTCCCACTGCACCGCGCAGGGCAGCAGCAGGAGCAGGAATGGGAGCAGAAGTGGGAGCAGGAATGGGAGCAGGAGCAGAAATGAGAGCAGGAGCAGAAATGGGAGCAGGAGCAGAAACGGGAGCAGGAGCAGAAATGGGAGCAGGGAATAGGACAGGGAGCAGGAGCAGCAGCGGGAACAGGATCAGAAAGCAGTTGCGGGCACAGTGCCCGTCGCCAGCGCGGGTGGCTGGGCCCCGCGGGGCGCGAGCAGCACACAACCCGCTTGCTGCAATAAGGGGCTGCGGCACTAGAGGGTGCTCGGCGACCGCACGTTGTCGCATGTGGCAGCATCTTGAAAGTTGGCGCCTACTTTTCTGTGCTCTCTGCTTTTTGCTGAATACACGGAATACCAGCACAGGAATTTTCTGCTGCGCAGCTAGCTGAGGACAGGACGCCCATGGGTGCCCCGCACAACTTCTGCTCGGTTACCTCTGCTAGAGACATGCAGGGCGAGCCCTGCACAGGGACAGTGTCAAGGAGTCATCTTTCCCAAGACTGCCTTTAATTGGCAAACATGTCTTCATTAATTTTACCTCAATGTCATGATGTCACAGCTAGCAGTACCAGCCCCAAGCTAAATAAGCAATAAGCCTCATTTTTCAACACACAAACACATAAAGATGTCAGCTCAAACTGTTTACTAATTAACACTTAAAAAGACACAAATTAGATATGCGTGGCTAAGAGCAATTATAATCAAGACGAATTTCTCTAGTCATTTGGGAACTGAAAAAAATGCCTAATTGCTGGAACCAATGTTTTAAAAACTGAAATCATGCCAGTTAGCAAATATGTTCATTTAAAGAACATTTCATGTGACTACACTCTGGAGAATTGACTACAAACATGAGAACAAGGAAAAATAYTTCTGTATAAAATTAAAATTTTAAGCTCTTTTAGATTTACAACTTCTTCATTAAATATATTTGCAGAGAGCAGCCTACAAAAACTTATAGCAATTAAGTAGTTAAGTGAAGTTCCTTCCTTGTCGATTTGAAAAGAGCGATTAATATGAGATTCCTATCCTATTCCTATCAGATTTCCTAATTAGAAGTTGCAGACTTCTAGGCAAACGCCGAGTGAGGCAGAGGAAGGCCTGGAGCGCCTGTGTGAGTGCTTGCCTGGGGGCTGGAGGCTGCGCACGACTCTGAACACCCGCAGGGCTCACGCCCCGATCCGGGGGTGTTGCCAGGGCCACAAGGACCCGGAGCCTTGGGGGCAGCGAGGTGCAAYGAGGTGCAGCCTGAGGGTGCAGCCCTTGGGTGCACTGCGGGATCCGCAACCCTTTTCACTGATTTTCCTGAAAGGGTGCAACCCCTTAATTAGGCTCACTTCTCAGCTTGCATGGGAACATACATCTGCAAATGTGGTGACAGAGAATAATAACTCTTGGAATTCTTTGGGATTATTTTTTGCAAGGCATCTAGCTCCAGGGAAAATGTTCTTGCTGCTCTGGAAATCCAGAAGATTTGCTGTAATGGTGCTATTGCTTGCAAGGGAAATAAAGCCATACAGAAATGCACAATATTTATATGCATAGCTATCTATGTGCAGACAAGATGCTTCATCAAGGAATATGGGCTGCATAATTATACTTTTCATTACCCTGAAACACACAGAGGCTGTAATGGCAGAGGAGGGTGGGGGGAGAACTGGCAGGTATCAAGAGCTCCTTCCTGGGCACACGAACAAGGGCTACCCTGCCCACTCACACCGCACGGAGAGGAGGAGCGTGGAGCTGAGGAAGGCAGGGGCGCATCCAGCACTCACCCTGAAGGCTTTCCAGCTCACAAATAAAGTCCTTTTCATTGGGGAAACAAACAGAGGAATTCCGAAGTTCCCATAAAGCAAGTGTTGTTGTTAAAGGCGGCCRTGATCTGCGTGTAACATTTGCCCCTTATTCGGTGACCCACAGTCACTGTGCCCGAGAAGTGCAGAGGACACTTAACTCGCATGACAGGATGGGAGTCCTACTGTGCTGCACTGACTCTTTGCCTTTAACACAGCTGTCTTCAGGCTTCTTTTCCTGGCACCAGGCTACGCCTGCCACCACACCAAAAGGCCACRATGCAGTTTACCTTGCACTCCTAAATCCAGTTCAACTGCTTCCCAAACTATGAGGCAACCTAACACACATAGTGCCCTGCTGGTAGCAATCATATTTTGTTAATAAACTGGAAAAGTTTAAATAAAAGAGACATTTGGAAATAAATGGAGGGCAGACAACTTCATCATTAGATTCAATGTTTAAAGGCTCTTTATCTGGCATGAATCACAGGTACCAAATTTACTGTTTGCCTTAACTTGACATTGACTTTGTCTATTGTCAGTGACTAGAGAAAAACAAGTGAGATCTTTCCACGTGGGAGGGACTCCTGCAGCTACACTATCACAAATCTTGAGATGATTTTGCTTAGAGCACTGCTGTGTACTTACCTCCTTTTCAATTTCTGCTAGGGTTTTGATCGTGATGCCCAAGAGATCAACTGTCTGCACCTGGTACCAAAAAGAAACAGAGAAAAGTCTTTTTTGTTGTTGTTTTTGCTGAACTCAGCAAATACTCTCCCACCAGAGATTCGGAGGCACCATCTGCAAACACACACATAATCCTGTTTCCCTATTCACCCCAGGAGCATGAGAAGCAGGAGGTGGTCTGGGGATTCGAGCCCTAATGCCGGTCTCCTGACAGGGTAGCTGACCCTCCCACCGTACGTGGGCGACTTGCCCTGCAACGGGACGGCAGCTGCAAGGCTCTGCTTTCCGAGGGCCACAGCAAGTGACGTGGGCCTGGCTGCGAGAGCCCTGAGCGAGCTGACCATGTGGTGGCAATGGTGTGTAAGGAACGGACAGGGAGGATCAGAGTGCCCCAATTGCTCTGCAGGTGTCCCGGACACAGGGGACTCCAGCTTCCTGGGAATGTGGGTCTGCCCGCAAGCAGCCCTGGGTGGAAAGCCACGGTGGTGAAAAACTGCGCCCGCTGCATATGCAGGTTCCGTCAGGAAAAAGAAAAGTGCAAAGAGGGAGCAACATGTGAAAAATCAGAACCCTTTGATAGGTCTGTGCTTGTCATAAAGGCCTCTTGCTAACTGATTTTTAAAGAGGTAAGGTCTTAAGGACTGGCTGAATGAGGGGCTGGTAGTGGGATGCCTTTGAGCCCTGCATCACCCCTTAAGGTAGCGCTGGGCCGCGATGCAGAGGAGCCTCCGTGCTCGGCTGGAGGGCGTCCGCTCTGTGGGCACCCAGCGTGTCCTCGGAGGGACTGGGCGGGCGGGAGGCTGCGCAGGCACCACGTCCCGGCGCCGCGGGCTGCGGCTGCCCCGCAGGCTGAACCCCGCACAAACACTGTGCAGGGAGAAACCAGCCAGTCCTGCCGCTGCCCTGCAGCCGCGCTGGCTCGCGCAGCCCCGCAGGCAGAGGGCAATGGGAACACTACAGCCATTTCTCTGCCTGTGTTGGCACTCCGCAGCCCCAGCAGCACTCCAGCTGTTGCATCATTAGGACTGCACAACCTCCCTCAACTTCCAAGCCCGGAATGGGGAAGCTGGACGGCAGAGCCGGATCCCCGCCAGCGTCACCATGGCAACCCGCTGCCGTGGGTCAGCCCAAGTTCCTTGCGCTCCACATGGAAAAAACGCCAGCATTTTTCAGGATTAAGCAGCTCCCTGGAAGGCTGGGGCRATGCCAGCTGCCCTTGGCAGGCGTGGGATAAATCCAGCTCCAGGCACGGTCCCGCTCGGTGTGCTGAGCGTCCCCCGCCCCGGCACCCACTGCRGCAACACGGGAGCCCGATAAGCGCAGAGGTGACTCACCCCTTCGGGAGCGCAGGCGAACTTCTCCGAGATCATGAAGGGCACCCCATCCATCGCTGCAAGGGACAAAGCAGCACACATGGTCAGCTGCCCCAGGCACCCCGTGAGCGGCTCCCTCAGCCCGTCCCAGCCACGCGCAGGGCTGCGCTCCCCATCTGGGGAATCGCGTGTCGGTTCAGTCCAGCTCCCTATGGACACGCTTTGGAATGGGAAGAAGCGCAGCCTGCGGAGCCGCGCKCCAGCCCTGCCCAGCACGGCAGATGGAGACACGGTGCTTGGGTGCCCTTCAGCGCCTCGCACCCGAGGCCGAAAGYGTGACCACCCTGGCAGACTAAAGAGCAGGGCAGCATGGTGATAACTCCAGCGAAATCACTGGCCCTGGAGCCCGGTGCGAGCTGAGCTGCACGCAYGGAGCATGGAGCACGCACAGGGACCACCAACCACAGCTGGAGAGCAACGGAGCAGCAAGACAGACACAAGGACACGAGTGTGCATGGTGCATCCCCGTGTCACCAGGCTGTTTGCAACACAACCCTAACGACACGGAGGGTCTCTTGCACTGGTATCGCTGCGTGTTCTCTGCTTGCACAGCTCAGCAGCACCGGCTGCTCTTTGTCTTGCTCCCACCATCCAGGAGACGTCACCTCCCACAAGACACGCTCAGCGTGACGCGAGTCACGCCGTGTCCAACGCCTGCACCCCAGCTACCCACAAGGCTCCCACGTCCCAGGGAGCCCCCGCTCACCCCAGCTGCACCTTAACATTTTACTCCTTTGCTTTCAGCTCTGAACAAAATAAAAGCTTTGAACTAGAGCAAGTTTCACCTCTGAAATGCCCTCATGTAATCCCCAAACAGGTTTTCTTTCACAAGCATCTGCCTCCACCCTGCATTTTGTTGCTTGCTGTTTTGCAACTTCCATTAGCACCAGCAAGTAACTGTGTTAGTGAKCTAATAAGCATTATTTAAGAATAAATTTTACATTAGCTTTCCATGTTTTTGACTTTAAAAATGTTATCCCGTATTATTTCATTATCAAAGGTGCTACATGGCAGCCACAAAGTTACATGAAACAAAAGGAAACAGATGAAAAGCAGCATCACAAAATCCAGGAAGTTTTGAACCTGAAAGACCATCTGCATTTGTTATCCCGACAGGAACCTGCTTTGATCACTCACACGCTGGCTTTTGTAAAGCAATTTAAAGAGATAGCCCCGAGGAGCTGGAGTCGCCCCCAGCCCTGTGCGCGGCGGGATGTGCTGTGCTAGTGGGATGCGATGTGCCATTGGGATGTGCTGTGTGCCACTGGGATGTGCTGTGCCGCTGGGATGTGCTGTGCTGGGGGGACACCATGCGGCGCAGAGCCCTGGTCCCCCAGCACTTCAGTCCTCCCGGAGCACAAAAGTGCAGAGCGAAGCAGCAGATGAAAGCAGGGTGTGCCAAAGGCTCAGCAGCGCAATTAGCACTCTCCTAAACAAACGAGCTTCAACAGAGCTGTAATTAAGCAGGCCTGTAATTAAGTATATGCCCTTTATCATAACGATCATGCTTAAAAATGGCATGATGCATGGAAGTGTGTTATTAATGCTGCAATCCCAAAGCGATGGGAGCGCGCATAGGAACCGGTGTGTCAGGCCCATCACTGGGCTGCTTGTAAAGTGCAGTAAGGGGAAAAATCAGAAAGAACGAGCTCATCCAAGAGTTCCTTTCATAGTCGGGCACTCTGAGTCAAATGGATTTAAACATCCAGCTCAGGAGGCCCCAGGAACAGGGCTGGAGCTGCCAGCAGCCACTGCTTGGAGCATGTGGTGCGAGGGATGCCGCATCTGCAAGCAGCAGCACCGCTCTGGACTCGGCAGCGCTGCTCCGGGCTCGGCTCCCATGGGCGCACGCACCTCCTGCTCAGGACATCCTGCCCCCGAAGCCTGGGACTGCGGACGTGGGGCACCTGCTGCCTCCCRCACGCCCTGAGGTGCCAGGAGAAACCACAGGCCCAGGAGGTGGGCTTGGGGAGGGGCCCCCAGCACCGAGCRGCGATGTCCCCATGGGAGCCCGTGCAGGGCTGGGGCCCGCGGCAAAGCCCTGATGCCTGCAAGAGACCCCTGCCCTCACGCAGGTCCCGTTGCCAGCAGCCCCTTGCGGGGGCCTGGACAGAGCACCTGCAGGTCCCGCTCAACCCCATTCCACTGCTCTGCCCTGCGAACCGCGCGGCCAGGGAGCAGCACGGCCGCAATGTCGGCTCCAAGGTGCAGGACATGCGCCTGTATGGCGCGCTCTTGAAATGCAAAAAAAAGCAAGAAGGGATTTCAAAAAGCAACGCATTTTCAGGGCTGTTTACCGTCTCTGAGGAGCAGCTCCTCCCTGAGGGTCACGTCAAGTTAGTTCACTCGCTGCAATTAGATAAAAGAGTTAGAAGGGCTCAAAAGGCAAACCTCACTGCTCTGAAAACACAAGTGCAAGTGGGCAACTGCGCGGAGACCACAGCAACACTCTAGCTGATRCACTAGATCACCACTTCATCATCAATTACCAGTACTTACTATTAACCTCTGCAGGGCATGTCACAAACCCATCCTCTACAAACACAACTTGTTAGCTCACTTAGGAATGCTCTCTTTAATATGAATAAAGTACTGTCATCCTCCTCTAGGCACACGGTAGATGCAACCTTCTGTGCTGTAGACTCCAGCTGAATCTCAGTTGTCAAATTAGTAATTCATCTTTCTAGAATAACTGTATTTTTAGCAAAGCTACCAGATTTAAATAATCAGACCTGCCAATGCTACCCTAATTTAAACATGCTGACGAACTTTCATAGGCAGCATCAGCTAACATAATGAGTTTCTGGATGACAAAGAACTTAAGACTATAGTTCTCTACACTACGCAGTATAATAAGCACTTGTTCTTTTCTACAATGTGCACATAAAAGAAGAATCTAAATAATAATTGCTGTAATTATCTTGAAAAATATGTGGTGATTAATGGTGATTATGAAAATCTGTATAATTGTTCATTGAAATCTCCAATGATCAGATGCTTTCTTGAAAAAGCCTTTAACGGAGAACTTAAGAACACAAAAAGCATCAAAACTGAAGCCAAGCTTATGACCGTTTGAAGCATGGTGAGGATGCGATTTCCAATGCCCAAGGCTCAGTTTTAACTCCTCCTATGAACTCTCTGCAAGAGGTTTCAGGATGTCCATGATGTGACGCACATGTCATTGTGGTTCAAAGCACGAAGTTCAACCTGTTATTTATGCAAATAATTAATTACTCTTGTACCCAACTAGCAGTTTGTCATGACACATTAATGACTTGATAGACTTCTGTGAACTAGTGAACACAGGACAGCAGAGCGCTTTTATCGTCATTTAATTTAAAAACGATCCTGTGTGAAATTATCTAGTCGTGAGTGATGGAAGCATAAAGAACAGACTCAGCAAAGCTTCTTTTGGATCATTGCTTTATTAATGGTAACGTCAGGGAAATGAAAAATGCTAACATTGTCATATTTAGCTCCTGGGTATAGATGAATAGCTGCCTCAGTGCTTGGCGGGTTCGGTTTGCACACTGCAGTGAGCGCTAATTCTTCACACCACTATTGTGGGGATACACAGCCACGCAAGAGTTTATATACCTCAACTCCCAAGGAAATAACAGCTGTTTCTGCATTTAAGCTCTCACCATAAGCTTTTACAGCTTTGACTTTCTTTACTGCTATTTTTGCATGGCCTTTTATACTTCGATTTTGAATCACCGGTATTAAAAACATTTAAATAAATAAGTGCCTTACAAAACATTCCTCTGTAATACTTTGAAAATTAAGCCTTGCTAATCCAAAAGAGAAAAAAAAAAGATATGCTACTRCCACCTTTAAAATTTAAATGACCACAGATTTTAGAAACTGCTTTCTGCAATGCCGGGAGAATCTTCAGGCTTTCTCCAGACCTGAAATGCTGGCGGAGTGTTTATGTTTCACCAAGATGAGCATCTCGTAAAACAGCCTAAAACATCATCATAAACCAGCAAAGCTCCCCTGATCAGAGAAGACCTGGTTTTCAGCCATGCAACACCAGAGGAAACAGCGAGTGCTCTGGCTGCACGGGGTGTGGAGACCAGCGAGGCCGGGGCGGCCGCGCAGCGACGTGCAGCCGCAGTGCCACGTCAGGACGGCCGTGCTCTGCACGAGGCTCGGCCAGTGAGGCAGGGCTGTGCTGCGCRGTGCCGCGGGGTCTGCAGGTGCTGCGGGACCTGCAGGATCTGCATGGTGCTGCACGGTGCAGCGGGGAGCCATGCATGGCGCCTGCGGCCACACGTTGCGTCCGCTGCAGGAGTGGGCACCACACATCAGGCAGCCTCGCCGTCACACGTGATCACGCTGCAGATTCGTCTGCACCCAGGAACATGCGGCACAGTGAGACRGTCGGCACCAGGGCAGGCAGCCGGCTGCGCTGCAGAGCACCGGTAGAAAAAATGGAAGGAATGTTATGTGATCTCAGAACAGAGGAAAGCTATTCAGAAATACGGAAAAAAAATGTTGTACAACAGTCTGCAATGCATCAGGAGGAAGACGTAGGCTTTTCAAAATAAACCACGCTCTTCATAACGCACAGCTAAGTCTCCTCCTTCTGTACTGTACATAGCAATTTAAACAGCAGCCCGAATAGTAAACACGTGTGTGTTCCTCCCGCGCTACCGTGTGCCGGGCCCAGCCAGGCCCCACCACGCGCTCCCAAATCACTCCCGCCTTCACTGGCAAGGACCCAGTACCAGGGCAATGACCACTGCTCCTCCTGGCCCTCGCCCAGMCGCTTCCCAAGCCCTCCAACCCCAGCCCGGCCATAAATAATCTTCCAGACCTGGTGTGGGGGGAGCAGCGGTTCCTCCCCACCCCGCTCGCCCACCACAACGTGACAAATGGGCGGCAGCCTGACAGCGTCTCCAAGACATATTGGAATTTACTTTGTGGCTCGTGCTCGCCATCTGTGTCAGTGCGCAGTGCTGCCCGTGCCGGCTGCTTCGCCAGCGCCCGCCGCCCGCGCTGCCCCGGGGAAAGC